TTTTTTATTATTCAAATATTTACATAAATTTCAATGTACTTGATTTTTAACATTGTTTGCATCATTGTCATCATTAATTTCAACAATACTTAGACTTTTTGTATATTCAATTATTTCATTGTGTTCTAAAACAGATACAATAGGTTTATGGTAACTAAAGTAAGAAATGAAAACGTTTGATTTAAATATATTTAAGTATCGCGTAAAAACCGCATCGATCGTCGTAGCTGTACAGCTACAGATATACTACTACAAGCATGTCGGTGACGCGAACGCATAAGATTTCACTCATCCAAAAAGCGTCTAACGCCCACAGCACACGTCCGCTGCGCGTGCGCCAGTTATGAGCATGTAGGTGACGCGAACCTATAATATTTTCCTCTACCAATATGTGTCCAACGTCCCTAAGTTTTCACTTCAAAAAAAATAAGAAGAAATATGACAGCGACACGGAATCTGATAATGAAAATGTTGTGCCGTACGCTGATAGTTCCTCTGATGATAATTTTGGAGAGAATCCTGTCATGGGAGACTGGTCAAAGATTGATTAGAAGATAGTAGTCTCCCGGACTTCCCCTACTACAGTCCAGTAAAAAGTTCGAACGTCTGGAATATTATTCGATAAAAGACGATTTATTTTCAAGAATATCAGTTATCATAACATCATACGCCACAGTAGACACCGACATATACTTTCTCAATGAATAAAAATAAACCCATAAGGTACTGACTATACAAGACCAATTGGCAAAATATGCACAAGGGTACCCATTGAAAGAAAAATCGGCAGAAGACGTGAGTAACGCTTTAATGAAATACTTCGGTCCTTCGAGTCCCTGAAAGGATCCATTCTGAACAAGGTTCCGAATTCCTTAATATAACCTTAAAAATGATAGAAAAACTTCTAAATATTGATCACACCTTTTCGGTCACTTACCACCTCCAAAGCAACGGCGCGGTTGAAAGGTTTCATGCTTTCCTAAAAGAAACGTATCGTACGTACATGTTACAAAAAAAAACGCGATGCGAAATTCTGTAAATCAGCTATTAAACTTTCGACTGTAGCATACAATATATCAAAACACGCTGGTACAGGATTTATGCCGTATGAACTACTGTTTGGTTATAAGCACAGGGACCCATATCAAAACCCAAAATCTAAGGACATTTTAGCCAACGATTACGCTAATAAAATAAACGACATTTTTATGGCGATTAGAACACAAGGTATCGATAACATAAAACGTTACAAAGAGAAGGTAAACAGATGACATGACGATGACGTCGTATTTAGGAATCCTCTCATTAACAAAGACACCAGTTACCCGATTTGGGAGGGCCCATATGAAATTTTAAAATTCCTTTCCGATAAAAACTTTGAAGTTGACAAAAGGGAAAGAAACAGAAACACAATAGATAATATTGATCAAATTAAACCTTTTAACGATGAATTCATTGTTTCAGGACACTGGACATGTCGGTAGCCGTAGTACCTAATAACTCCGCTAAACAGAACCGGAATATTTTTCACCATTTTGGATCACTATTAGTAATAAGCTCAAACTGGAAAATAGTACCAGTTAAAAGTACAAAGGAAATATTTAACCAAGTTCAAGACACCAAAGCCTATTACAACAAATTAAAAACATTAGACGTAGACAATAAGAGTAGCAATTTAGGACATTATCATAAATTAACCTAAGGTATAGCGATTAAGAACTTACACTTAATTACACGAAAATTTTAAAAACGTACGTAAATAAAAGACAAAAACGTTCTTGGTTCTCACTTAAAGGAAATGTCTCACATACTGTTGTCGGTACTCTTGAAAGCATGTAAAAATCGACCACTTTAAATGACACTATTAATACGATAAATAAAAATGAATAAATTATCCAAAAGAATTTCGATGAGTTGAATAAATGGTCAACTAATCTAAATGATGTGAACATAAAAATTAAAACATTCATTAAACAACTAATTTTAGAGATAATTTCCATCCTCTACATAGAAATTCAAAACATACTAAATCTGGAACTTACGCAAAAATGGGAATGTTGCACCCTAATATAATGGATCCAAAATTATTGATAAAAGAACTGAAGTAAATACAGTCGGAATTAACAGAACAAAACTTCCATTTAAAGTAAACCCTGATTCGGTCCATTTGTACTTCGCAATAATTAAGCCAAAAATTTACATCAATAAAGATTGATAAAAAGAGTGAAAATAAGATTAAAGGTTCCGTTAATTGACGCAACACTATTTCATCTTTATGAAATTTACCCTTACCCCGTAATCGATCCAAAGATAAAAAAATACAAAACTATCCATCCTTCAAATTCATTCCTGCCTATCGAACAACGAGGCGGAAACTGAGTTGGCGTTCCATGAACAAATGGATATACTTGAAGAAATTATGGATCTACGAAGAGTTCACCGTACAGGAGCGATCCAACTCCAGTCAGTGCGAAGCGGAAGCCTTCGGGGCCACCACCTTACCCACCTCATGCGAAATCATCCAACTAAAACTCAAAGAAAAACTGTTCCAAAGAGTTGACGATAATTTATGGCTGTTCTACTCCATCATCGAAGATAGCCTGACTTTCAAATGTCCAGATCAAGGAATGACTAAACAACAACTACCAACTACGTGCTTTCTACAAATGGAACTAAAAGGCATTGGATATTTGAACAATGGGGTAAAGATCATGGCACAACATAATCGAACATCTAACATCACAATAAACGTAACTCTCCCTGAAATACCCTTCGACTGCTGTACCGAAGAAATGGAATCACTAGAGGATCCTAAATTAGAATCTTTACACATAGGAACTCTCAAGAAAGAAAATTTGGAATTAGAACGGAAAAGTCTACAACAATTTTCCAACAATGTCAACGAACAATTAAATAAACCCTTCGTTCAAATCAGACGAAATTGGGTTTACACACTTCTATCTGCACTTGGAGCAATCGCTGGTAAATACCTACTGGTGCTGCTGTCCCAACTGTTTGAGAATGATATCACCCCGGAGAAGATGTCAAACCTTAAGAAACCTCATCCCATGTCTACAAATCATCAACTGTAATATCAACAATCCACAGATTTCCTATCGGGATATCCAAACCTCCACAGAAATGAGGGAAATGGAGATGGTACCCATTGCCGACGAAAAAACACTCAAAATGGTCGCCATCAACTCGCATAAAATAAGTTGATGATGTAACCCAATAAAGAATAATCAGTACGAGTTGATCATTTTAGAATTTAAGAAAATTTAATAGAGATCCTTTTTCTAGCTTAAAATGTAATAGGGTAACTTAAATGTTTCCTAATTGTTACTTCATATTGCCAGAATTAATTATTGTCTAAGAAGGGAGGTGTTACGTATGGGTTTTAACAGTAATATTATTTTCTAATAGCAATTAAAATTACCATTAAGTGACGTAAGCAAATTCTTTTACGAATAGAATAAAAGGGCCTACCCCAAAAATTGTAAGTTAATGTAGTCTTGAGTCTTAAAATAAATGGTTAATGAAGTAAACATTACCTTTTACTTAAATAAATGTTGCCGTAGGCTAAGCTCACTCAATTAAATACATAAAAACCGACGAAGTTACCTCAACTTAAATAAGTGTTCGGTACTTATTCATATTAGAACAATTGGAAAAATCTACGTACTTATCTTAACGATTAAGGCCAGAACTAATTACGTGTGTGTAAGTAGTAGTTCGTGAACCTTTTAATAGTTCTTCAAAACCTCTGCACGTAACTTATAGTAACTTATATAGGTATATGCATGGTAGCAAACTTACACGGTGTAACATTTTCATTAACAACGTTATTACATGAAAGTTTCATCAATACATTTTATATGGATAGGTAATTTCAACCAACGTCGCACTTCGGTAGTTATGAGAAATGGAATATTCTGCTAACGAAAACATTGACAATTCCAATTGTAATACTTATACCGGAATTCAAGTAAATGCGTTAACATCATAGTCACTTTTATTTAATTCCGATGTAACATTCCACGTTAGAGGAGAATTTAATACGGAATATTCAAGACATATATCTTAACAACAAAGTAATTACCTGGATATTTAAGAACTGAAGGCGTTGCTCTTAAGTTGGAACCAGGAGCATATACTGCAATATCTAATATGTACACTGTAAAAAATATAAAATTAAACTTAAATTTCATTAACAACATGCTTGTGCCTAGCTAATCATTTGTAGTGAATTTTAAGTACAATTTGTTGTTAACATTAGTGGGAGTTCTTCCACTAATAAAAATTGAAAGTGTGTATTTAATAAAACCTGTTCGAGAAAATTACTAATAAAATTGATTGTTTTATGCCCAATGTAATAAGCACACCATTGTGATGAAGAATATGCTGCAAAATTTAGTTGTTTTAACAAATGACTGTTGTCACCTTAGTTGTTTTTCTGCAATTACTACACCAATATACAGGGTGTAACTAAAATAGATACCGATCTTTGGAGAGTATAAACTAGATGCAATAAACAATTGCACAGTCATTTTTTTTTTAAGAGCGTCATCCAAATAATTGTAAGTTCATTAAAGCAAATTTCCATACCACTATTTAGGTACTGGCAATATGCGTTACTTTTGAGAGTGGTTTTAAGTAAACTTACCAAAAAAGTCGAATAAGTTTCCGTACATTTCGCACCAACAATTACCGAAAACAGTTGTTGCAATTGCGAAGGATGTACGATATGCGAATTTGTCTCGCAATAATAGTGATTTTTCTGAAAATTCAAAATTCCGTCCCACGTGAAACAAAATTGTCTGTAAACAACATCCTATGAATAGCATTACACTATTCAGCACTTTTCTTTCGAAACCACCAACACAAATACACTCGCGGCCGATAATTAGTTTCAAGTAATGCTTGCATTGACTACAACCGGTAATTATTATTTGGTTGGAAAGGGGTAATTTGCGAAGAAAATTTTGTAAGGATAAACTGAGGCTTATTAGGGTTATTGCACAATTATATTTAAGGAAGAAAGAAGAAAATAATCGGTGTTGTATGTATTCTGTTGAGTGTTTCATGAAAAATTTTTCGTTTAACCTGTACTAACGGCAATCCTAAGCAGCCTCATACGATCTGACAACGTTACATTATTTTCTAAACACTAGAAACCACACAGATTCTCTTCTCTTTCTGACACTATTTCTATGTATTTCATTATTTCTTGTCACTTCATCATGTTGCAACGTTGCCAGCTTTTTATTTAATCACTTGTCGTACCAGATCTATTTATTTAATAATAGCAATTAAGCTATACAGTCAAATTGTTTAGAATTTGACTACCTGCGTTATAACATATCAGTATATCATATACTGGCTTTCTCAGACAAGTGGTAAAAACGGTTCTATTTATATTGTCCAAAATATATTTTTTGACGATTTGACATAAACTGTACAATTTTTAATAGTCAATAATACTACATATTAAAAGGCTGTTATCTTCGATTCTAGACGATCAGAAAGCATATTCAGATTATAATTGTGCAAATTTTAAACAATTTTGTAAGAAAATCCCTTATACGAGACAACTACCTTAAATATATATAGGTATATGTATACAATACCTACGTATTAGATAGGAGAGAGCAGGGTTGAAGGTGCCTAGGTATTTTGACCAATCCTTGAATATATCGACTAAAACAAATGTACGTCGAAAAGTTTTAATTTATCTTACGTTAAATTTAATCTTTAATATTATTTTACATCTAGCTTTTGTGCATTTTCGATAGATTTATATGGAGATTAACTTAAACAGCGGTGGTAAATCACTATCGTCCCCTCTCTGTGGTTAGTTGTGCCGTTTATAGTGTAATGTTCGTGGGATTGACAAAACTTACCTCGAAGACTGATACCGACAAAAACGATTTATTTACACTAATTATTAAAAAAATTAAAAACAGTATTAGATTATTAAACTTAGGTTATGAATTATTCTATTTATTTACACTACTGTTGATAAATCACTATTCACTGCGCTATTTGTTTAACTTCTATCACTGTCAATTTATTTCTCCTTTTCACTTCTGCAACGGTCAATTTATTTCAACTATACCCTCGGCGATCGTCCCTTCCTTTAAATACTGTTTTGTTTTCATCCTGGAACCCTCTAGTAACATCCTGATGGTTTTGTTTTTCTTTGAACTATTTAACTGCTTTCCCAGAACGCAGGTACGACACACACATTTATAAATACGGCGCACATGAAGAAAGGCGCCGGCGAATCGATAAGCTGTCCACGCACACGTATTCCCGATCGCACACAAATACGCTCGTGCTCGCTACAGTGCCCCCACCTTAAGGATGTCCCGAAACACTTTCACTTTCCGTTTCGTAGAATCATGCCGGAATCTGCAGTTCTCGCCTTCACGACATCCGCTCCGGGAATAGAAGTAACAGTAAACGGTCTTCTCATGATTGGTCCGATTCGGGTTATTACTGCAAATGAAAATGTCTATTCCAGTACGGCGGAACACCTCTTCGATCATGTTCCGTACGATCCTCCAATCTAGGTTGTCTAGTCCACAACCAAGCTTCCGAATCGCCAGCTTCTGTAGGTTATTCTCCAGAAGATGTCCGCGGAGTTCAATTACTGCGTTCCAAAAGTCTCTATAAGTTGGGTTATCAGAGCATATTCCTTTAGTTACTAGGTAATAAATATTCCGTCGTTCGTCAGGCAGGACAGTTTTCTTCCTTTCTGTACTTGGTCTTCAAGATGTTCCAAACCGTCAAATCTGCGTTTGAACTCGGACGCGAAACCACGGCTCATTCTGAGATCCTCTGAAACGCAATGGGCCAGTGAATATTCCTTAGATATTGTAAAGAGGTCTCGTCGGATTTCTTGCGTCACTCCAAATCTCCTGTTAACATGAATGCCTTCCTTCATGAACACTTCGCATGTGGGCTCGGAAGGAATAGTTCTTAATAATCTGGCCCGCGCCTCTTCTTCATTTGCACCAATGAATGGAGCCAGGCGATTAAAATGGACTACCTTCGGCTTCCCATTTGGAATTTTCTTAATTCGGTAGATCACGTCGTTAATCCTCTTCCGTATCTCATAGGGTCCTTCCCATTTCTGTTGGAACTTAGGTGATAGTCCACGGCGACGACGAAGATTATACAACCAAACAAGATCACCAGTTTGGTAGTCACCTGCTGTACCCTTGATACCGTAGTTTTTTGATATCCTGTCATCTCCTGGTTCACAGCCGAATTTAGGTCACAAGGTAGTCGTAACACTCTTCCAAAAAGGACACTGGCAGGTGTTTGGCCAGTCATTTCGTGGACTGATGAACGGTATGCCATTAAGAATAAAGGCAATTAGCGGTCCCAGTCCCTTTGGTGGTCAGACACAATCTTGGAGAGATATTTAATCAAGGTCCGGTTCATTCGTTCCACCATGCCATCCGATTATGGATGGAGTGGAGTGGTTCGAGTTTTATTTATTCCTAGGAGCTCGCATATATAGCCGATTCGAAATTCCTCCCTAGGGCACCCCAAAACGACTGATCAACTCTTTCACCAGCTCCTCAACTATGTTTTCCGACTCTTGGTTCGGAAGGGCATAGGCTTCAACCCACTTGGTGAAATAGTCCATAACGACCACGATGTACTTGTTACCTTTCTCGGACTCTGGGAATGGACGCGCCACATCGATTGCGATTCGTTCGAAGGGGCCACCGACATTGTATTGACGCATTGGCGCCCTTGGCCTTTTCTGTGGTCCATTACTCGCGGCAAAGGTGGTACACGTCTTACACCAATTCTTGACATCTTCCTTACAGTTCACCCAATAAAATCGCTCTCGAACTTTCCCAAGCGTCTTATTCATTCTGAAATGGCCTTTCCAATTTGATCACTCAAGATTTTCTCCATCAACCTTTCGGCGGAGCATTGCATCAAAAGGCATAACTGTAAACTGCCATAAGCCGTGCCGATCGAGAATGCGGTCTTTTCCTTGTCGGCAGCATCTAAAGCAACTTGCCAGTATCCGCTCTTCAAATCGAGTGTAGAAAACATTTTCGAGCCAGAAAGCATATCCAAGGTGTCATCAATCCGTGGTAGTGGATAACTATCTTTCTTGGTTACGTTGTTGAGCTGTCGGTAATCCACACAAAAACGGGTTGTCCCATCCTTATTCTTTACCAAAACTACCGGTGATGTCCATGGACTTGAAGATGGCTCATTATGCCGGTCTCCTGCATTTCGTGGATTATTCGCTCTGCTTCTTCCTTCTTGGCCAGAGGCAATCGGCTAGGTCTTTGACGAATAGGCTGCGCATTGCCGGTATTGATTTTGTCGTTTACGATATTGGTCCTTCCCCTACCATTATTGTCAGTCTCAAAGACGTCGGCATCCTGACAAAGTAGATGTTGCACTTTGCATTTCTGCTCACTGGTTAGATTCCTGCAATACCTGTCAATCACTCCACTTATTTCAACAGATACTGTTTTAGAATTTACCTTTCGGGTTACAGCCTCCTGTCTATTTTTGATGAAATAGAACGCATCTTCTTTCTTAAATTCATGTCAAAATCGTATTTTTGTTAAACGTCCAGCCCAAGGATTACGTCATCTTCAATATCTGCCACAAGCACTCGATGGTCAAAGACAGTCTAACCGTTTTCAAGTGACACGTTAGCTCACCATGAACAACCACTTCTTCTCCGGTAGCCGTACGCAGAACCCACTTAGTTGAGACGACCTGGTTATAACCCTCGACTACGCTGGGTTTTACTATGCTCCTAGTGACCCCAGTGTCCAAAAGAAACACGCATCTTCGTCCATTTATTTTCCATCTAGAAGTAGACTGTCATTCTGGTGCTTCAAGGTCTTCGTAAATGCAGCAAATTCGGGGTCTTTTTGTCCATGGGTCAACGTTTTCCCCGTCACGTCGACCCTATCTAGTTTTCCTGCTGTTGACGTTGAGTACTTGGGGAAGGAGTACTTTTCCTACAGTGCCTCCTCATATGGCCTAGTTCTCCATAATTCGAACATATTAGCTTTCGAATTTCTTTATCGAACTTTGAGATGATTTGCAGACGGATTATTCTAAAGATTTTGACGAATTCGTTTCTTCACACAGAAGCCGAACCCTTCCCTATTTGCTATAGGCCCGTTTTACAGTTTCGCACTCCAATGCACGAGCCAATGCATCAGCTAGCGTCTTAGGTGGGTCAAGACGTATTCGTTGTTGAGTGTCACTATCCCGAAGTCCATCAGTAAATGCCTCCACTGTCAACCTTTCCATCAATTCTTCTGCAGTCTTAGCATATCGGCTTCGAATTCTTGTAGGGATTTCGTTGGTTTCTGCTGACGGGTTTTCAGTTGGATGTGATACACCGCTGTTAAATGAGCCCCGCCGTAGCGCAACTCTAACCGTTTTATCAACTGTTCAAAATGTCACATGCATCTCCACGAAGCGCAACGATCAACGCAATGGCTTTTCCTTCATGCACCCAGTTATTCGCCTTAGCAGCCGCCTCGAATTGCTTGTGGTATGTGGCCCATGAGGACTTTCTGTCAAACGTTGGTAGTTTTACTCGTGTTCTTGATTCTACACCGCTTCCTTGGCTGATTTGACTGGCTTCATTGAGTGTACTAGATGCGCCAACATACTCTCCGATTGGTTTTGTCTTTCCATTAAGAATCAATTCTTCCAGAACTTTTATCTTCTGTTCTGTTTATTGAATATTCTCATTAAATTTTACTTCCCATTTATTCTCCAAACTTCTACTGGTTTTTTCTTCCAATTCACGTTTCAAACTTTTACTATTTTCTTCCAACTTATTTTCCAAACTTTTAGTGTTCTCTTCCAATTTATTTTCCAATTTTTCTAAACTTTTCATCATTTGCGACAATTCGTCTTCGAAAAGGAACGTTTCAGGATCATGGCAATCCTTTTTCAACGCCTCCGTGAGCCGTCACTGAAGTTCCGCTTTGTTACCGCTTGTCGCTACATCCTGTTCTTCCAGTTCTCTTCTTAACTCAGCTATTTTTAGTTCGTACAACTTCTTTGCCACTGTAATGTCTTTTACTCAACTGACACCAGTTGTAATGTTCGTAACAAAATTAACTTCGAAGACTGATAACGACAAAAACGATTTATTTACACTAATTATTATATTATAAAGGACAGACGACTGACGAGGACATAGAGACAGAATGGAACTGCATTTAAACGTGCCTAAAGTTAGCAGGAGAAAGGAGGAAATACAAAAACGGAACAGACGAAGAAGGACAAATAAAGATATAAGGCCATAAAGTGGGAAATAAATAGGAAGTGTAGGGCATCTAAGGAACAGTGAATTACAGGGGGAAATTCTCAAACAAGCAGGACAAGAGGTTAGAGATCGTTTGTATAAGCTAGTTATTATAGTCATACCTAAAAACAGGCGCAGATAGATGCGAGACTTCCTATGCGTCAAAAATCATAACTCGAATTGTACAATGGAGAAAACGATAGAAAAAAGAAAGAGGGCTCACATAGGATTTGTAGATTTAGAAAAAACTTTTGACAATGTTAAATAAACTTAAAAATGTAGGAATGAGTTACAAAGACAGAAGAGTGATACTTTGTTTCTATAAAGAGCAACTGGCAGTTATAGAGATGGGGCTGCAATGTAGAGAAGTAAATATTAGGAAGGGAGTCAGACAGGATGCACACTGTCACCGCTACTTTTTAATCTATATATCGAAGACGCGATCAACATCACTAAAGACAGGTCAACTGTAAGGATAGATATACAGGGGCAAAAGATTAGTATGCTTAGATTTGCAGATGATATAGCAGTATTAGCATCTAGTAAGGAGGAGTTAGAGTAGCGACAAAACAGTAATGTATGAAAATAAATAAAAGTAAAAGAAAAATACTGGTATGCAAGGGAAGAAAAATTAGGGAAAGAGCGAATATAAAAATAGGAGACGAAATATTTGAAGAAGTGGCCGAGTTTAGGTATCTATAGGAAGTCAGATAAGTCAGGACTGAAGGAGTAGTAGGGATACAAAGCAGAGGATAGCGTAGGGTCGGGTTGCCTTCAATAAAAAGAAATCACTTCTATGCTTGCGAACGCTTAATTCTGGTTAATTCTGAAATTCGGAAAAGGTTGTTAAAGGTGTATGTTTGTAGCACGATACTGTACTGGTGCGTAACATGCACAGTGGGCGCGGCGGAAAAGAAAAGGTTAGAAGCGTTCGAAATGTGGTGTTATAGGCGAATGATGAAGATACAGTGGACAGAGAAGGTTAGAAAAGGAGAGGTGTAAGAAAGAGTAAGAGAACAGAGGCCTCTATGGAAGTCAATATGAAATAGGCGAGATAGTTTGGTAGACAATTTCTCAGGCAAGAAGGTCTAGTCAGGGACATATTAGAGGCAGAAACGGAAGTTGGGAGGAGTAGAGGTAGTCCTAGATTAGATTACTGTTCGTTAAATAGTTAAGGATATGGGTTGTTCTTGCTTTAGGGAAATGCGAATATTAGCTCAGGATAGGAAAGAGTGGAGGTACATGTCCAACCAGTCTTAGGACTTTAGACGACCTTATGGTGACGATGATGAGCCTTTAGAGAAATAGGACAGTTGACGATTAGACAATAAACCGCTCGAGTAAGTCTTTTTACCAGTTTCCACTTCCTCTCATCTTTTTTAAATGGCTTCTTATATTGGTAATTTTCAAAACAAATCAACAATCAATCAATAGAAAATACGATATCGCTCACAGTAATAACAACCATTCTACACTGATACATTGACCTAATGCGAGTGACTGATACTGCTAATTATTTATCAGCAGAGTGATAGCGGCGTTGCGCTGTTATAATTTTCTGGGCAGTTTACCAGGGTTTCCTAGCTTGTACTTTCAAATACGTTTTTTACGAAAGCGGTGTACTTTTTTTGTTTTACAGTGTCTCGGCACCTCCTGTTAGCTTCGCACTTATTTCAGTTATTATTATTAATAATAAAATATTGAATTTCAGAAAGGAAAGGAAATAAGTATAAGCAAAGAACCAGTTACAACCGATTTCACATATCATTGTATCCATGAAAACCGTTTATGAAAGTTTGGAAATTAGAAAACAATGGATAAAAAAATAAATTAGTGAACGACCAAACACAAATATTTCATTTAAATTACGTCACAAATAGTATCATCAGTATAACAGATACTTTTACCTATAGGCAATAAAGTTTTGTTCCCAATTTATAGACATTAGGCATTCGTAACCTAGCAAGTTTTATAAATTCTTTGAAGGTGACCTTTTGGTCAAAACATAACATATAAGAGATACCTCATTAAATTCAGTGAATCCCATACAAGTGTTTTTCTATTATTTCTTTTTCTTTTTATAAGTTCTAATTATTCAGTGAAGGCTACGGTGATGCATTACCGTGCCTTCTCTGGTATACTTTAAAATCATCTTAGGTATAAAAATCTAACTTCATTGGAATAAAGGTATTACTTACAATAATGTCATTATTTTAAGTAATATTAATGTATAATAAATTTATATTAAAAATTGATTTAAAAGATAATAGGACTCCTACAAAAGTATATATACTTACAACTGACCACCATCAAAAGTATTACAAGCGTATTCTTTCTGGATAACATTTTGAAACTAACAGAGTAATTGGTTCTGTTATCCACTTAGTAGGTGCTTCTTTTTTATATAAAATATCGATCTTGATAAACAACAACAATTGAACGAGTACTACTGACTGTTTGCTTTCAAGATAGACCAAAACAAAGCAACTTTTAATGCGTCATCATCGTGCAACGTGATCTTAGTCTGTTGGTTCATCGAAAAATAGTGGTCTATACCCGCCCTAACCAAAATTTTCCATGGTTGCATCCAGTGAAATTGTGCACTGGAGCTTTTAGTCTGTTTATTAGCATGATTTTGCACCTTTTATACATATGATACCAGTCTAGTGTTATCTGATTGAAATCCATAATTTGATAAAAATTGTAAGAAAAGTAATTAATATAAACGCTTTAAAATCCAATACTACGAATATTATCCGGTTATTATTGATGAAATTGTTTTTGTTCTAGATACAATTTGCAAACGCTAGGTAATGCACTATTTAAAAAAAAATTACAAATTATCACTATTAGAAATCTTAAAAATAAATAATAAATAAATCAAAATAACAATTTGTTCGTACAAACTATTTGAGGCATGCCTCCCAAAAACAGCATAGGTTGATCATTTTTTGAAATCAGTGGGTATGTATTTAATTCTTAAATTCTATTAAAAAATCTTTTGCGAATTTAAGAGGGGTGGGTTTATATTCTTAACAAATAACGCTCTGAATTTTATAAATCATTTATTTACTACTACTAACACGTAATACGTCTGGCATAGAATTTTTCGTTTCATTTAAATTAAAAAGTACAAAAAACTGTAACAAACTATATTAATTTAAATAATATGCATAAATAAGCAGAAAACGAAACTAAAGAAGAATGTTATTTTGGTATTGCGATTTTTAAGATGGATTTATGTTCATTTTTATTGAATAAATCATTTTTTTCCGAAAAATCTTCATAAATATAAATTTTCAGAAATCACAAAATGCAACTGATGTAAAAGTTATGGATAAAATTCTTTAGTATTACCAAGATATTTTTGATATGAGTATTTGAGCATATGTATTCAGTTGTTAGATTCCATAAAAGAAATTAAAAACAGTTGGGCATGAAAAAAGTGCTTTATATTTTAATTGTTGTCATTTCTCCAAAACATGTACATTTAAAAACAGCTAATAGATAGAGTTTGTGTTTAATAATTTTCCATTTTAATGCCTAACGTATTGTAAACACCACCAACGAAAAATATCAACACGCCTACAATAGTAGGTATATTGAACCGCCAGAAAGATTTAGTGTACATCAATCTATCCAATTTTCTATCAAACATCGCATATTATACTGTCTGTAGATTTTTGCAGAAGTACGTTTGATAAAACCTACAATTCAATTTCTGTAATTTGGTCTTATAAAGTTTTTGTGAAATACGTTTCAATTAGACTTAGGTACTTGCCCACTTATCCCTTTTGAAATTGAAAATTCAAGATAGATATCCTTTGCAATATCTTTAGTTTTAAAAACGACTCTGTACATTATTTCTACTTTGAAAATGAACACAATTTACTAAATTTCACTATATTGATAATATAAAGGTTAATTGCTGTTGTCAGGTGTGATTACTTCATAGAAACTCTACGTAGAGGTTATAATGAGAAACTGCTATCTGAGAGAGTAGTGAACTCTGTTTACCTGATAAAATTACTCTAAAGTGTTTTGTTCTGTTCGTCATATTAATCTCGAGATAATATTAACAAGTTTAGCAAATCTCAATTTACTCAAGGATGTGCAAGAAAATATCTACAAAATAATTTGAGTCGAGTATTAATTCCTAAGAGTTTAGTTTGAACTCTAAATAGAGTCCATTGTTGGCAGTCAATTGCTCGCTGATATATGTTATATCCTGATTTTTTTACGTTAGAGATAACATAAATTTATTTTGCCGAGCTAATCCTGGTAAATACCATAGAGATAGTTACGGGCAGATTAGTCGATACGCTGCAAGATGTAGATATTAATAATCACTTTTAAATGCAACTATCGTCTTGGAGAGTGTTCCATTACTTAGTTGTAATTCAACTTATTTAAGTTAATAATATCAACTTCTGAATCAAAAAACCAAACTAAAGATAATAAGTTTATTACTTAGGAATTGAAACACATCTAAGGGATGAATGTCCCTGTACCGATATTTATAGCTTATTCTTTTGATAAGGCCTAGTCACTATCAGTGAACTATGGCTGTTTGCTTAAATATTGTGAGAAAGTCTATATAGACAAAAGTTAATATTGTTTATGAAATACTTATCTACCAAATACTTATATCTAACATATACAAAGAATATCCACTCATCATTGGCTGAAATACAGACTTTTATGGATTTTCTAGGTTTTTTAAAGTCAACGTTCAGGAATGATCAATTCAGTGCAATCTAATGCGAAATAAATATACCGTTTGTTCAGACTTTTTACTTTGCATGCAAACAAATCTTCTATTTTCGCAAAATTAAGATATATCCCATAATAAGTGCAATTTATCTAGATAATTTTGCGTCCTTTATAACAAGATGACATAACTTTGCATTGGGTTTAATTTAGGGTAAGCCGTACAGAGATTTCCTCTTTAAGGAACTAACGGATTAAATTATTTCATTGTCTCACGTCTGCTGTACTCCATTGCTCACTTCATTTCAATTAGGTACAGGGTAAAATCGCTTGGCGCAGAACCGAAAGTCAAAAAGAACTATTTTGTCCAAAATAGTGAACATATTTGACCCTTTAGGGCTATTAGGACCATTTATGTTATATGCTAAGTCAATTACGCAACAACTTTGGACGCATCAGCATCAGCCTGTATACTCTCAGTGGGACTACTTAGCCAGACAATTGCCACCTTTAACAATAATTCAAAATTTGACAGAAGAACTATACATTCATGTTCGTTCATTCGTAATGGATACAGTGCCTTACATAAAATCAAGCGACAGACAGGGGAACGTAAAAAGCCAATTACTCCGTGCAAAATCACGAGTTGCTCCAATACACTATCCACTATCCATATCTCGCCTGGAGTTATGTGGAGCTCAGTTACTGTCAAAATTATTTTATCAAGTTTCCAACACTATCTACTTACCATTTGATCGAGTACTTTCGAGTAGCGACTATTACGCTTCATTGAATAAACTCATGTGTCGCAGTTGCTCAAAACATTTGTAGCAAATCGCGTAGCAGACATTGAAACCAAAACAAAGATCGAGGGAGAAGGTGTCATGTGCCTTCGGGGTGTAGTTCGGCAGATGCCTTATCTACAGGTCAACTACCTGAGGACTTTTAACGAATGAACTGTTGAATGAAGGTCCTTCCTGGTCAAGGGAAAAGGAAGATATTGTAACTTATAGTGCAGTATTGTTTCACGCTGGTATTTAGACCATTCTGTATATGATCCGTCAAAAATATTGGGTCATAAATGGACGCAAACATGTACGTAAATCAATACGATCATGTATTCCGAGTTCCGAGCTAATTCGCCAACCAGAAACTACATGATAGGAAATCTTCCAGAAGTTCGAACCTCTCAAAGAAAACCATGTTCCAACGTAAGTGTTAACTGTTGCGGACCAAATCTTATAGATTGAATATGAAGTTGTTTCAGGATTTCGATATCTTTGTGGCAACAATTTTTAAGTATTTATGGTATTAATAACGGTATACATTTGATTTCGTTGACTTCCTGTTAGCTGTATGAAAACTTACATTAAATTAAATAACTTTCGAGTTTAGGGTGATTTGGTAATATTTATAAATATTTGTAGCATCAAAAGAAAAAGGCAGTATATTTTCGCTGTGACTAATATGACTTAATTATGTGACATATGACCAACATAATTTAGACTATTTATATTATTGAAAAGTTAATGCGCTCTTCTATACACGAGACTACACTCATAAACACATACATGTGCCACGCTTGGTATAGTCCAGTCAAATAATAAGGGAAATGGCTAAAAAGTACTTATAATGGAGAAAATTATTGAAACACGGGTCATTTTATCGGAAATTTCGTGAGCTACACGAATATGTAAATGAAAATTATTTGCCTGGCATAGGNATTGCAAATTCGATTATCTCGCGAAATATGAAAGACATGGAAAAAAGTTTCAATAAAAGTTTTTCACAATGTCATTTTGTCAAAAAAAGTATTAATTACTTTTTTTCATATCCCTCATAGAACAAGAGTTTTGCACACCCAATGGCATAGAGGCCTCAAAATTGGCGGAATTTTTTAAAAAATTTAATACTTAGTAGGTAAGTATTTTAGTCTAAAATTAGTAGTAGAGCTAGGCGACTTATTTTAGCACGTGTTATTGTTGATGCTGAAGAATTATTCATAGCCTCAGAAGGTAGGTATTTATGATCTTCATACTTAAGTTTCATTTGGATTCTGTTTTAATGTTCGTGGGTTTAACAAAATTTACTTCTATGATTGATAACAAAAACTATTTATTTACACGAATTATTAATATATCACTATACACTGCGCTATTTATTTCACTGCTATCACTGTCAATTTATTTCTAATCACATCTGCAACAGTCAATTTATTTCTTCTTCTTCGGCGATTGTCTCTTAGTTTAAATAGTCTTTTGTTTACTTTCGGGAGCCTTCTAGAAACGTCTGGATAGTTCCTGTTTTCTTTGAACTGTTTCACTGCTTTCCCAGAAGGCAGGTACGACACACACATTTACAAATACGAGCACATGAAGAAAGGCGCCCGCGGCTAGTCGGCGAATCGATAAGCCGTTCACGCACACGTATGCCCGATCGCACACAAACACACTTGTGCTCGCTACACAATTGTGATTTAAAATAAATAAGTTTTCGGGAAATCTTTATATAAGCTCTATTGAAACAGTCCTGAATGGCTTATGCAAAAAGAGATCTCGTCGATACGTTCGATAGAATTGGCACTACTACGTATTTGCGCAAACTTCCTCTAAATTTAAGAACAGTCGTTATAGAGAAAAAGAAGG